GGGGTTTGGACACATTTTACTGATTTGTAAATCCGTACGCCTCTGTCATGTCTGTTTGCTTCCAGTTCTGAATGGGATTGACCGATCAGACAAATAGTAAATTATTCTATACCTATCTTGGGCATTGCCGTACCTGTATGTGCATTGTTCTGTCGTCCAGAGAGCTAGTTGAAACACTTAAATGATGTGAATTTACTGCCAATGAGCAGTTTGGTTGGGAATTTAACAAAACAAGAGTGAAACCTTGGTTTTCTTTGAGTTCACTTTAATGAAGTGTCTGAACATGCCTTTAAAAGCGAAGACTTTTTCTGTAATTCCCCCTTTCATTGGATAAGCAAGACTACATGTACAAGAATTAAATTCTTCTTTCACAGTCATCCAAAGTTTACGTAACTACATCAAGAAAATGCTCTCTTCTTCGCTTATTAAAAAAAGTAACATCTTGTGAAAGGGTGGCGTTGTTATAATCTACACATTTCCTTCACCAAAGGGAAATTATAAGTTGGTATTTTATTGGCCTATTTATTATGGAAAACACAATGGTCGATTTCGTCTGCATGGGGTCGGGAAACGGCTTGAGGTGAAGTCACAGGCTTGCTGTGTTCTTGCTCTACTTAATACGTTGATTTTGCCCAATGGAAGAGTTCCTTTAATCAGTGGACATCCTTGCCATTCTATGTGAACTTGTATGAAGACTTCAGTTGCTTTGTGCCATTTCTGCATCAGCACCTCGTCCGTTCAAGCGAGACTTGAGACTTTTCAATCAATAGCGCCTTCTCAGTCACAAAGCAGTAATCTGAAACCAGACAGAAGAAAGGTGACACTTTTAAAAACAACCCCATTTGACACTGATGCCCGCCATGTTCCATCTGATTATTTGGATAAGAAAACGCGCCCGCAGGCACAAATACCAAACAGAAGTATATCTTGTTTATTTGATAAATCTGTTCGACGGATATTATTCAAAGAAAACGTAATATAGGTACATGTACGTTTTCACATGTATATTTCCTCAGCAAGTTTACGCCCTCCATCAAACACTGGTTCGCTAAACTAGTGAGCTGCAGGCCAACACAGGTTGCTTGTGGGGATTTGGGGAGTCTGTAGATAAATAGAACACAATATCGATATTTTTATTCGATTTTTTATGAACATATAGTTTTTTTCTCGAAAAGTTAATAAATAAGCGGGACAGACAAATGGGTATTTTAGGTCAATTTTAGGGGTGTTCGTTTGCTGATGTAGGCAAGAATGCCGGAGTCGATCATCTGGAGCCATTTGCTCCATACGGGTATGGGTGGACAGACTTGTGTTTGTTTACGTGGAAATACGGGTGCAGACGTTTCTGTTCTGGTGCCCGCGAGGACATGCAGGCAAGTGGGTGAGTGTTTTCATGCAGGCGCAATAACAAAGCCTGAGTCTAATAAATCAAGCTCATGCATGTAGGAGGTTGAGCTGTTTACTAGGCAATTTCAAAATAGGCTACCGCTCCAAGTTTTCATTGTTGTATTTGTGTGTGCGATTTCAGAGAGTCTAGCGTCAGTAACTATTGTTAAAGATTGCATTCTCTGGTTCTTACAAACAGCACGAGCATGCATTGCAATAAATGATAAAAACATCTCAATGAGAAAATCGATACAGTTTTATTGGTGATTTTATGCCTCTTAATACTCAATTGTAGACAGACAAACTAATTTTGAACAAAAAGGAAGAGACAAACTCTTTGGGCTGTGATCATGTGTCTTCCAGCAAAAATAATTCCAATAATTTTCCAACGAGGTTTCCCTCATTGCTCGGTTAAAAAGTTGAAGAAAATCACTTTCATGTAATTTTTAGATAATCAAAAGATCATCCCCGTAGTCTAGAAAAAGGGGACTATCTTTTTATGTCCCATTGTTGAAAATCTTTCCGTGCAAATTGTTTTTTATGGTTTTGGGTTCATATTGAATACAAGATCTGAAAAACAGGAATTTTCTTAAGCGATAATTGAGGCCATAAGCTGAACATGCATCAATGTCTTTATACATTATTTATGGATGAGAAATACAAGCAGCTACATCAGTACATGAGCCTCGTGTTCTGCCAGCTATGTAAATATACATGTGTGCAATGACGTGTACCGCTTATTAACCAATCAGCCCAACGCTTGGCTACACAATGGATTAGAAAAATCACTTGTGTTGTCATCTCCCCCAAAGGCCGGTGTTCTGAAGATTAGGTAGAGTTGCTGAAAGCGCCATTAAAACAAAACAGCAACATTAGGTTCCAAAGTTTTCTTCCAGCAACATGGTGCGGAGACTGTCGCTGTACGTAAAAACTAGAATTAATTTGCTGCACCCGTCCGGAGTTCGGCAAAAAAAAAATCATCAAAGACCTCAAGAAAGACGGCATTTCTGTCACGGTAAACGGTTCGGTTGTTCCTCAAGAAAGTAAGAGAAACAGGCTCTTTCGCAAAGTCCACGTGTGGGCTGGAATATCCAAGTGGGGGAAAAGCCCCATACTCGTCTTCGAAGACATCATGGATGGACAATTCTACTGGGAAGAGATTTTGCAAGAAACGTTGCTTCCGTTCATCCACAAGCGATTTCCTGACGGCCATCGCTTTCATCAAGATAACGACCAGAAGCACACAGCTAGGGAAACGCGGGAGTTCATGAAAGAGGTCAGAATAAATTGGTTCCCATTCCCCGCCGAGTCCCTTGACCTAAATCCGATTGAGTGCTTGTGGCATGAACTCAAGCATTTCTTAAGACGCCAGGTAAAGCCAACTGGCAAAAACGAACTTATCCAGGGTATCCACCTCTTCTGGCGCACCAGAGTGACCGTAGAGTCATGCTCGCGATACATCAACCACCTACAAAAGGTTATTCCGGCTGTGATTGAAAGCAACGGACGGGCAACGGGCTTCTAGTGAAGATTCATCATAATCCAAAAGGCCCTTCTCAGGGCCACCACATCTTCGAAAAAGAGATAATTCCCGTTGCTCTGCACTGTTACCAAATAAAAAGAAATGTTTGTCTGTGTTTTTGTTTTTATTGTCGCAGCTGCAGGTGGACTTGAACAAAAGGTACCAAAGACGTTCCTTCTCACAATACTAGTTAA